CCTGTAATTAGCATTGAATTAAGCATTAAAGCATTATTTAAATATTACTTTCGTTCAATTTTTTCTTCACCTTTCAAAAATTTTAAAGCCAATTTTTTTTCAACCGTCAAAAATGTAAAAGAACGTATCAAAATATCAGTTATGTATCGCAAAAGTTTCTTAAAATTTTGAAAATATTAGCGGAAAGGCGAAATTTGAGAGAAAAAAAAAAATTACATTTGCGATTCGGAAATATCGACACCATAATCTCGTGAAACTTGTTCCAATGTAAAACTATCCTCCGTTGCTGAAATATTAGATATCGTCATTTATCCGAATAATATAAAATTAATTAAACAAGCCAGTTAAATTGAAAAATAATAAAATGATAAAAATGAAATAAATAAATTTTATCGAAAAGTAAACAAAAAAGCGTACAAATACAAACATATTAAGCAGGTGAATAAATTAAACTGTATTTTAAATAAAATTTCAACATTCTTCACAAGCTTTAACTAATTGAATTAGTTAATAAGGATTAATTAATAAACCATGATGTTGTCTTGGCGATGGGATAGGTATTTCTTCTTCTGGCCCAGGTGTGATACGTAAATTGTATCCAGTGATTACTTCCTGTAAATTAATAAATTAGTTAATAATTTTATTTAATTGCAAAGCAAATGTTCAATCACGCTCTTCACTAATCAGCACTTAACTTATAATCATAAATACTTGGGCATTTTTTCCACTTCGAATTAAGTATTTAATTGAAATAATAAATTAGAATACGGAAAATTTAAAAATTTCCATCTTCTGCAAACAAAAAATATTCCTCGATACTTATAAAATAAATGGCAGGGAAAACTGCAAAAAGTTTCAAAAGAATTGCTTCCAAATTCATGATGAAAAATACAATTTTATTTTGATCGAATTTAATTTTAGTCAAAATTTTAGATTTGTCATTTCAATTTTTATCCTTTCTTCTTTTTCCCGCGTTTATATTTTGAATTATACCTCTCCGGTGGGTCGCTTCTTTTTCAGTGAACCACGTCGTAATACTTCCGCGGTGGCATCAATGTCGTACACCAATGCAGCCAAGGTATCTGTTACGGCATGCTGCTCTACAAAAAATTACCTTTAAAAAATTTTTTTTTGAAAAAAACAATCATTTTACATTAAAATCCCATTAAATTAATTAAATGATTTCATGATTTATTTAACAAATAACGATATTTTTCACAAATTTAATATGTATACATTTCATGCTTTCAGAAATTTTGTTAAAAAATAATCAATTCACATCAATATTAATTTTATTGAATTAATTATTAAATGATGCACTTAACAAATAATGGTTAATTCATTAGTAATTCAATATATGATAATATCAATATAAAATTTGCATTCAAGTTAAATTAAATTAATTGAAACTTTCAAGTATAAAAAGTAATTGATCAACAGCGGACCGTCAACAATCCGCATGACAGAAATTTTAGTAATACTTAAAATGAAATTAAAGATATTAATGCGCTTTGTACATCATCATTTCTTTTCGTACTTGTTGTAACTTTTCCTTCTTCACAAAGCATTTTTCCAGTAAAAATATTTCACGTAAAGAAATAAGAAATGGAAGAAAGAAAATGCATACTTTGATCATCTTTAAGCTTAGAAAGTTCCTTCTGCATATCATCAGTGCTTACAGATTTAAGCCGTAAGGTATCATCAGTTGGTTCCACCGAAATTCGTCCACTCACTTCCATTTCCGCTTGAAATGACTTTCCTCCCATAATCCAAAATTAGATATTTGGTTTTTTTTTTTGATGATGAATTAAATTTCTATCTTGCTTGGATTGTGATTTGAAAAAAAAAATTGAAGAGATTGAAAAATCAAATAAAAAGAAACTAAAATAATTTAGCATTTGCCATTTTTGTCCTGTAATGTACAAAATTGCAAAAAAAAAAAACTTTCAATTAGTTTTATATGATCAAAATCTTATAAGTCTTTTAGGGGTAGCAAATTATGTTTAAAATTTGAATTAGAATATTTGTAGTTAAAGATCAAAAAAAGAAATGCAAAAGTCTAAAGAGAATTAAAAAGAAAAGGTAGTGCAATTAATGATACGTAATATGCATATATTTGAAAAGAAAAGTAAATTTTTTGAACTATAAAAGAAAAAAAATTATTCTACAAAAACAAAATTTCAAAAAATTCCAACTTTTGAAATAATATTTTGAAAAAAAATTTCAATTAAATAACAGAAGAAAAGAAAAACAGCGGACAAACATATTCATTTTGCTTTCGTTGGATCAATTCTGTTGCTGCATTCACACTATCCACCATTGTATTCAATGTATTATGTATGGTACCAGCATCTAAATATGAATCAATTATTCAAAATTAATTTTTACATCAAAAAAAAAATCAAAAATTTGTAAAAATTTGCAAAAAATTTACCAAAAAAAAAAAAAAAATTTCGTTTGAATTTATTGTTAACTTTACTTGTTGTTTTTTTTTTCTTGTTCTAAATTTAAAAAATATTATTGTGAAAAAAAAAAGTTAGTTGAGAGTCAAAATTTTGTGAAATTTAAAATGAAATAAAATTTAGAATGAAATTCTTTATACAAGAAAATTGAGAAAATTAATTTTGAATAATTGAATCATTACTGCAATAAAGGTAATTGGTTTTTTTTTTCGCTTTTGGAGATGTTAAATAATTAAATTATTTGCTTTCCTAAAAATTTCCAGTTTTAAATTCAAACTTCTTTTTTCTAAATGTGGCCTTTTTTTTTTTCTTTGTTGGCGTAAATTAAAAACAAACGATTGAGCGGCACATATCGACTGGATGCTCGTGATTCCGATCTATCTGATCGTTCCGATCGCCACTGCGAATCGTTTGGAAATTGAGCAGGTGAAATGGATGTCATATAGCTTAAATGAATTTCAATTTAAGTATGAATTATTTCAGTTTCAAAGTAAGAAACAAAAAGGATATAATGAGCACAAAAAAAAAGCTTGAATTCATTTTTTTGTTGATTTCAAAGTATAAATGTTAAGCAGTATTTATTTCATTTGTTAAGTAAAAAAGAAAAGGAAAACAAAAAAAAAAAATACGAAATGTTATACAAATGAATTCGCAACCTTTGCGATCAACTAATGATTGCTCGTAATCATACGTGGATAGTTTATACGATGTCTACAACGTGAAATTATAACATGCAAAAATTGATATATAAGGAAAAATTACGAATACAATGTCCTATAATTGTATTTGTCAAGTAAATCTTTTAAAAAAATGATTGTGCAAATAATATTTTGCATTTTTTTTTTAGCACGCATAATGGATAAGCATTAAAAAGACAAAAAAAA